ACAGACAAGACATCTGCAGTCTCAGCTCAGAAACCCACATCTCAGAGGAAGCAGCTGGATGGGTGGGGGCGGGGAGGGGGAGACACTGTGGGGTGGAAGGGAGAGCATAGTACAGTGCCCAGGAGAGGGAGAGCGAGCTCTTGAAGACAACCGTGAAGCTCTCCCCAAAACAAGAGTAAGTGGGTACTGAGTCCCTGCAGAGGGTGTCTGGAGGTTCTCTGCGCCATCCACATCAGAAATGACAGAAGGGGACAGGTGAAAATGGGGCCAGGTGAAAATGGGGCCAGGGCACCCCCCCCCATGAGGGAGGAGGCTGGTGCCGCCGAGAGCTCTGCAGCGGCTGACACAGCTCGAGGGCTTCGTGCACCACCTTCTCTGTCCTCACAGCGCCTCCAGACATGGCATGGTGGAAGCAGAGATGGACCAGGCAGCAGGTCTGGGACCCAGGTGCTGCCGCCTCTGGGCTGGTCCAAGTCAGACAGACTCTCGTAGAGCAGGCTTGCAAACGCTTGCAGTGCTCCTTTTTAGTGTTTAGCAAACTTAGTTTAGTTCACAGTGCATGCATAAATTACTTTCAAGTAAATCACATTTTATTATGGGTTTAGGTTGTGTTAAAAATACCCAATGCCAGGGAAAGCTGCTGGCTATTCTGACACTGGGCCAGAGCCCACCAAAGGACAGACTTCCCTGAAAGGGTCCACCCTGGTTGGGGAGATGTGGAAGGGGCTCAGCTGGGGCTGGAACATACTTAGTGAGTCTGAGAAGACCTCACAAGGGTACGTTTTGCTTTCCAGCTCCTTCTGTAACTCTTCCTTTAATGACCTAAGGGATCCTAAGGGTCTGAGCGAGCAGAGGTGGCTCCTTGGCCCCAGCTGTCAGTTGTGTAAAAATATTTTATAACGTCAAAAATTGCCTGGAAACACAGACCTACTAGAGAATGGACTTGAGGATATGGGGAGGAGGAAGGGTAAGTTGTGACAAAGCGAGAGAGAGGCATGGACATATACACACTACCAAATGTAAGGTAGATAGCTAGTGGGAAGCAGCCGCATAGCACACAAAGCTCGGTGCTTTGTGACCACCTGGAGGGGTGGGATAGGGAGGGTGGGAGGGAGGGAGACGCAAGAGGGAAGAGATATGGGAACATATGTATATGTATAACTGAGTCACTTTGTTATAAAGCAGAAACTAACACACCATTGTAAACCAATTATACTCCAATAAAGATGTAAAAAAAAAAAATTGCCTGGAAGAACAAACAACCTCCAATACTCTGTTTCATTGTGCAGAAGCGATTTGATGGCAACACAGAGAGACAATGAGAGAGAAACAGAGATAAAAAAAGACAAAGAGACAAAGAGAGAGAGAGGATATATTCATTCCTGCAGCTGCAGATCACCCAGAGCCTCCCAGATTACAGGAAAACAAGGGGACTCCCATCATTCTGTGAAGACAACGTTTGTTCTACGCAGTTCCCTGGGAGCAGCTCGGCAGCTCGTCTCCTGTTACGCACGATAACATCACTGGCAAGCCCTTTGTGAGCCCTCGGTGTGCACCAGGTCTGTGCTTGCTCGGCACTATCTCACTTCATCCTTAAACCTATGAGGCAGTACTAGGATCACCCCGTTTTACAGATGTGGAAACCCTGTGGGGGTGGTCAGATAACCTGCCCAGGTTCCAATATTATCCAAGGACAGGACCAGGATTCAGTTCTGGGTCTGTTTGTCCTCATAGCCATGTCCCAACCGCCTGGCTTTGCTAACCTGTTCTATGTTAGCAACAGAGTTTGCTCCCCAAGAAAGCTTTTCCCTCAGTCCTCAACTCCAATTACACAGCCCCTACAATTTTGCTCTCATTTCAAACTTATTTAACAAAGAAAAATATGCTTCTGAACTGTCTGGGAAGCTGCATTTTCCTCTCCCCCCTCCCAGTGCAAAGTGACATTTATTTGTGTGCCTAGGAAGGACCAACCCAAACCCATTCATTACAAGGGAAGGGAAGCCACATATGTAGACCCTGGCTTTCAGCACATCATTGTATTCTTTTTTTCCCGTGGCTGCAAAAAGTAGAATTTTTTCAAGAAAAGCTTTCTATCTAAAATTAAAATAGTGGCAAACTCTGCAATTATACTTCTCAGTTGGAGACATTTGCTTTCCACTCTCTTTTCCCAAATGCACAAGGTCCAATTCGTTGGTCAGTTAATGGGTCACACCAATTGTAGTGTAATGAACTGGAAAACCAAAACTATGTAGGTTTGAGTTGTTGTGCCGTTGTTCCCCGAGTGCACTAAGTAGCTTTATTTTACATCAACTGTATGCTATTTATCTCACCTGTCCTCCACACAGTGGGGCCCTGATCAGGGTTTGCCAACCTCCAGCCCTAGGGCCGTCAAATGATGCTTGGAGGCAGCTATTGTCAATGCGCTCTTCATCCAGTCTCCTCTTCTGAGCCCACCCCAACCTCCCCGGTTCCTCTCCTTTCCGTTTGCTGTTCTGCATCTTCCCATGCTTGCTTGTGGAGTTCTGGATTAGCACGTGACTTGGATTTGTCAGAAAGGTTGCTCAGAACCTATCAGAAGGGCTCCTGGATATTATAGATTGATGGCTCTTATTTTCTCAGCTGGTAGTTCCTATGAGAAAGGGTACTATCTTATACAGTTATACTATAAGAGACGTACACCATTAACCACATATATAATTCTGGTAAGATGATTTTATATCTAATTCATCAGGATTCTTTAAGGAATATGTAAACCTATGTTTACCTATGGGTGATGGAGGGAACACATGAGGGAATTAGATGAACTTTCAGAAAGTGTTTTACAGTATGATCCGAAGAGAATTTTAAAACACTATGAGATAGAGAGGAACGTTTTATCATGATTAGGAATCTAGCCTAGAGACAGAAGACAGAAGATTGAGACCAACTGACAGGTGTCTAGTAATGGGTAAACATTTTTATAAATAATAAAGAGAAGGAGATGCCCCGTAAGCGCTTCAGGCTTGTAGGAAACAACTCCCTTCCTATAAATGCCAACTGGAACAAGTCATTAGACCTCCAGGAGAAGACATGCAAAAGATTTTATGTGAATGAAATATATATATATATTCCATCATATAACATTTCATCATATAATATCAAAATTACAACCCAAGAAAGGGTCCTCTGAATCCCTACAGATTATTCCCCTGAAGACATTTAGGCCACTGTGCTGCTTTGGCTTAAAAGTATGCTCGAGAAGGGCATGGGATGGCCACTGGGGCTGAAGTCATCAGGAAGGGTATCAGAAATCACACAAAGGCTGTCATGTGTCCTTTTAGAAACCCTGGTGTGTGTCCTCACATAGAGGACCAGGTATAGTTTTGGTCACCATCCTGTAGAGGGATACAGTAGATCAAGAAATTGGCCAGAGAAAGCCAATCAAAAATGTCAAGGGAGCAGTAGTAATAACAGAATAGCAGCTAACAATCACAGAGCATTTGCCGAAAGCCAGGCAACGGTCTAAGTGCTCTGCACGCGTTAACTCATTTACTCTGTTAACCATCCCATGAGGTAGGCACTCCTATTGACACCATTGTAGAGATGAGAAAACCAAGGCATAGAGAGTTGAGGTTGCTTGTCTAAGTCATGAAGCTAGTATTTGTACCCAGGCCACTGGGTACCAGATTCCAGGCTCTTAACTGGTTCTTACTACTTGGGAAAGACAACAAAATTCCATGCTGTTTTGCTACGGAGGCAAAGGCTAAAAGTAATTTTTCCAAGTGAATAAAACCAAAAAAAGGCCTGAGAGGGAAAACATGGGCTTTCTACCAAACTGTAGATGATTAAAGTGAGGATAAAGTAAATTTCAGACAAATAAAAGGAAAATGGCTTTGCACAGCAGGAAACATTATATAACCTTTTTTTTTTTTCTGAAGAATTGAGACTACAAATTCTAATAGGCTCGAAAAGGGTTGGCAATTGATAATGTGTTACTAAGGGAAACAAGGTTTGTTCTGAGGCATTCTATCCTTTCAGGTGTGAGGTTAACAGGATTTCCATGTCTATTCGCCCAGGAAAATCCCTGGTTATTTCTTTTAGAGGCAGGCTATGGGACTGAAGAACTGTGGGTCTTCCCCCGTGTGGCAAAGCCTCAGTCCATTTCTCACTACCCTTCCTGTCACTTGGGGCTTCCACCAGCTCCTTGCCAAACTCATCTCTGAGAAGCTCCATCCCAGGGCAGAAGATGGTCTGCGGGCGTGGGTAGTGGCTCTCAGTCTGAAGCGACAGGAAGCGCTGCCCAAGTAATTCCAAGGGGCTGGCACCCACATCAGTTGTAAAACTCCTGTGCTGGGGTGGTGGCAGCCTAACAGCAGGGCCAAGTCTTACATTTGAGGACCTCTGTGCTCTACGGTGTTCCCTCTGCCTGTTTCCTAGCCTGTTCTGGAGAAAGCAAGCCGACAGAGAAGGTAAGTGGTCTCTGGGAAGAGTTACGATCCTAACTGTAGGCCCAGAAGTCTCTTGGCCTCTCCCTTTTTCCTCTCCTTGGGCTTCAAATGCCTCCGGCTACCCAAGCACAATGCCCCTCTGAGGAGCTGGGAGAGTCTGGCTATGCATGCAGCCAGCTCCTTGGGCAATGGAGGATCTAGGTGTGAAGTGGTTTTATTTCAAGTGTCTGCCGACCCGGCAGCTCCAGGGCACAAAGAACGCCCCCCCCCCCACCGTCTTGTGTACCCGGCAGGAGAAGGCCTAGGACATTCTGCTGCCCTCGTGGTGTTGCAGGATGTAAAAAGAAAAAAGATTTGGCAACGCCAGCCTTGGTGAACGGGATCAGGGGCAGGAGGCAATACGGTTGAAATATTAACTATTATCGAGCTGTTTAGTTCTGAAGGATTAAAGAGACACACATGCTGACTCTCTTTAGCACAGGTCTATTCATAGGAAATCTCTACTCCATCAGCTACAGACATTTTAGCACAAACATTAGAGGGGGAACAGAGGCAATTTCTGTTTCTACTCACCTACGCAGTTATCGCAAAGGCTACAATGAGAGGCACGAGGGGGCCGGAAAATCTTGCAGGTGAAACAATATTTAAGTTTCACAGTCTGGCCATTGATGATGACTTCCTTGGTTCTGGGAGGTGGGCGGTACCCCCCTGAACTGGTGCCGTTTGCGATATCTGTGGAGAAAAGAAGACAAGAGCACGGGGGCTTAACATAACACTTAAGCTCTGCAGGCTCCCGCACCTAGTAGGCCTGGAATCTGCATTTCCAAGCGCAGGGCCCACAGCCAGCACCTTGCTGGGAGGCACCTGACCCCTAGACACACGAATGCGGTAGGACACCGAAGGCTGGCCGCCCCACAACCTTCGTGCTCCTCGAGGGCTTGGGGCTGCGCTGACAATTCCACACACGCTGCAGTGGCCACGTGACTGAGCTCTGCCCAATGGGGTGCAAGTACACGTGGCCCCACCCAGCCGGTGGGAGCCTCCCCTGAAGCCCACCCACTGTTTCCCCCCTTCCGCAGGCCACCTTGGAGACATACACTGGGGCCCCCTGAATGACTATGCACACATGAACGGAGATCCTACACCAGCTAGCGCTGTCCTAATTAATACAGTGGGTGATACTGACATCAGGAACATTTCGCTTCTCCGACGCCGGCTCAAGAATCTCCCCACTTTGCACCTTGGCCACTTCAAAAATACCAGATATTGGGTGGGGGGTGGGGTATACAGATTTAAATATATATTTAAATAAATCATTACATGTATATTTAAAAAAACAATTTCTATATTTTATTGTCTGAACAGCATCTTTTATTTTTTTAGAAACAGTTTTTTTTAATGTTGAAGAAACTACAAATACGTATTTTTTTTTGTTCAAGTTTCATTTCATCTTATAACCTGGCTCTCATCCCTGAGTTCACATTAGAATCACCCAGGGAGCTTTTCAAACTCCCCTAGTGCAGGGACCCTGCCCCCGACCCGATAAATCAGAATCGCCCCGGGTGATTCTAATGTGCTGTAGGGTTGAGAACCCCTGCTCTACAGGAAGATAAAACATTTTATTCTCATCTAGACCCCTCACAGCCACAAAGAATTGAGGTCAGCAAGCTCTGCAACAGGAACAGAAGGCCACGGGTAAATGGAGAACAACAAGAATATCTGTGAGGGCTTCAGCTGGGACTCTGCGGCTGATAAACACAGGTGGAGCAGAGCCTGGTGGCTGGAGGAATTCTTGGGAAACTTCATGGTGTTCTTTTAAAACAGAGCTGGTAACATTTAATTCGTTTTAATTCATACACTATCAGATGGCGACAGCTGCAACATACTTTCAGTAAATTTCCAAAGTGATAGGAATGAGTCCCATCCTCCACTCAGCTCCCCCCACCCCCTTCCCAGCCATGAACTCAACCTGGGCGAGAATTACGTGGAGAGCTTTCAAAACTACTGATGCTACCGTCCTGCTCTCAGATATTCTGATTTCATTGGTGGGGTGCAGCCCGGCACCAGAGGTTTTATAAAGCTCCCCAGGTATGGGAATCAGGGCCTTGTCACTGTGGTTCATGCAGCATCCGCAGCATCTGAGAGCTTGTCAGAGAAGCACAGTCTCTCTCAGTCCCACCCCAGAGCTCCCGAATCAGAATCTGCATTTACTGAGACCACTAGCGCCCTCCACTCCAGGGGGTGTCGTGCACCTTAAAGTTTGAGAACCCTGATCCCGGATGCCTGTAAATGCTGCCCATCCACATGTCACATGCACCTCTTACTCTCATGTTCCTCTCTGTTGTGTACCCAGATACACTCACACGTATGACAGAGAGCTAAACTTAGAGAACACAGAAACTTGGAGAAACTTTGCACACAGGAAGGGGCCGCTTCACAAATCACAGCCAGCCACCCAAGCATTTTCACGTGGAGAACCTGGTGATCAAGGACAGCTGATGGAATCTGCAGAGCTGCACCCTCTGTCCCCCCAGGACTGCTCTCACTCACAGAATTCACAGCTCACAAGTCATGATTTCAGGGGGTGCCCCCTTTACCCCAACCAGCAATCTTTGCCCTACCTCTATGGATTTGCATATTATAGATATTTCATATGAATGGAGTCATACAGTCCTTTGTGACTTGCTTCTTTCACTTAGCATAATGTTTTCAAGGTTCATCAGTAGTGTTAGCATGTATCAGTATTTCATTCTTTTTTTTTTGCGGTACGCGGGCCTCTCACTGTTGTGGCCTCTCCCGTTGCGGAGCACAGGCTCCGGACGCGCAGGCTCAGCAGCCACGGCTCACGGGCGCAGCCACTCCGCGGCACGTGGGATCTTCCCGGACCGGGGCACGAACCCGCGTTCCCTGCATCGGCAGGCGGACTCTCAAGCACTGCGCCACCAGGGAAGCCCCCCAATGTTCTTTAAGAGGCTCTCTGAGGCCTGAAATCTGCCCTTAACCCTTTAGCCTAAGGCTTTGATATGTGTGAAGATACCAACCCCATTGGTAGGGCAAGCATTTTGAGTGGTTCCAAGCCATTTACTCTTCATGGAAAATTAAAGTTCCACAAGGAGGTTGTAGAAGGAGAGGTCAGAGTTCAGGAACACCTGAGGGAGAGAAGGCAGGGTACGGAGCAGGATACGGAGAGTAACGAGCAGCCTTCTGCTTCACATCTCCGCTGAGGACAGTCATTCCACCTGAGTAATTAAACAGCCGTGGCGCCATCCCAAGGACTCTGGGTGGCCTTGCCAAGCAGGACACCCTCTCTTGGCATGTCCCCCACCTGCCTGGCACCCCAAGTGGCTGCCCTATTAAACAGTCCTAAGTCCAGCCGTCATCTGGAGAGGGACCAGCTTCCAAGGCACATACACCGGAAAGAGGGCAGCATCTCAACTGATTCTGTGATAAGGAAACAAAGAGACGAAGTGGCTGCGTACCTCCTGAAGCATCGGGGTAAAAATAGCTGGCTTTGAACACATCAAAGATAAGGTCACAACCCTTCCAGTGCCAACTGGATGCCGCTGAGGCCTAAATTAAGTATGACTTGGAGCCTCGCTAGCCTTATGTCAGCTGTGAAACCCACTGTATCTATTTAGCTCTCAAAAACATGCGTAGGAAAACTAGAAAGTCAGATAGAGGTTTAAAAAGAACAATAACCCAATCAATAATATCTGTGTTACTTTAACCAGAAACGTTTAAAAAATGATTTGTCAAGAAAAATATTTTAAGAAGCAGGAA